TGCATTTTTATTCATTTACCTGAGGAGCATGAGGGAGCAGAAAGTTTATTGTCAATTATCACTTGTCAGCTAAAGCCAAGCATGTAATTGCTTATGTATAGTGAATTTCATATAGGTCACTGACCTTTCTGGAATATGCAGTAATTAGGATTTTCTACTTATTTTGATGTTTCATCTAGGAGGTGTGTGGAGGAATTCTGTCTGCCACTTGGTAGCCTGCAGGTTATTTTATGCTTCAAAATAATTGAAAATAAGGTAGAAGAATGAGGAGTTGTCAAAGATTAAATTAGTTCTTAAAGAAAAAAAATAATTCTCTAATACACATCGTGATTTGGTTGTTGTTTGCAAGCACTGAGCACACTGGGGTTCTGGGATGGGAATACAGAGTATTACTGCAATACAAATAAAGACTGCTCGCACCTTAATGATTTAACACAGTGCTCACAGGGCCAGTGAGCTGCATCAGTCAATGCTTTCTGTAAATACCAAAACCTGTTCATGTGAATAATCAACATGCTTATGTAGTTCCAATATTGTTTGCTTTGTACTATACCTTTTAATTTTTGATGATGCTGCCATTTTGAGAGAGAATTAACGTGGTGTATTACAGAGGAGGCTTGTTGTACTTAAGGTGAAAATGGGCTCACCATATCCAAAAATGAAATAAGAATTTGAGCATTATTTCTCTATTCCCTATTAAAACCTGTCTGTGAATAGAAAAGGAGGTACAAATTTGCCCATGGAAGAACATGTGTCTCTCACAAATATGCAAGCATGCTTAGTCCTCACTCTCATGAAAAGAATAGGGGCAGGGGGGATAGGGATTGTACTTTTTCAGTCTTCTTGGATGAAAATTATATGCAAAGTTCAAATCCAAAGGAAAACAGCTAACAGGTGTATAAATTGGGGTACTAGAGGGAAGAGTAATAACCTGTGTGAGTGGTTTTGTGGTTATTTCATCTCTGCCTGGGAGGAGCAGTGAGGTCTTAGGCTATCCAAGTCAGTGAAGGGGCTGGTGCTGTGTGACTAGAGGGGCTGGGACAGGGAAGTAGGGAAAGGGAAAAACCTTGGTTGCTGTTGGAAGTGTTAGCAAGCAGCCTGTCAAAAGCATGGGGAAAAGAAATGGGTGACATTGTGAATAATGGCAGATGTGCTTGCCATGGCAGGCAACCATTTCAGTGACAAGAAGAGCCCTCACACCAGCAGCACAGGGGTGATGATGGTCTCTGGGATCCCACAGGGACAGGGCAGTGTACAGGCACTGTCAGAAAGAGATGCCAGTTCCCTTTCTAGGTGTTGTGCAAACACACAGTATCTGCAGCTACCTTTTGAAATTGTGCTCTTGCAATAATGTTATAGCTGTGTGAGATATGCTCATGGTTTGTGGAGAGGGAACTTAAGCAGACAGGTAATGTTGCTATGTACTTTGTGTCCTCTTGATGGAAACCAGATTTTTATGAATCCAGTGATGTTTGGGAACGCAGTAAACTCTAGTAGAATATGATTTTTATGATTACCAGAAATGCCATAACATTTCAAGGTACTAGCTTCTGTGGATAGATTTATATGACTGAAAAATCTTTGAGGAGAACAGATGTGAACACTGGAACCAAATGACAGCATCTATTTCTAACATCTGTCCCTTTAATTTTCTGCATTTTTGTGACTCTGTCTGGAATTTTGGGATGCTATATCTGTCATATGCCAACAGATGGCAACATTATAAGTCCATTTTTAAAGATAGAAACAACCAACCTCTCAGCTGCTCCAAATTTAGTCAGAAAAAAAAAAAAGTAAAAAATTAATTGCATCTTTCTATGGATATAAAATAATTTTGTGTGCCAGTTAAAAACCCATCAAACTACCTCAGAAAATCCTCACCAAGAAACTCCCCCCCATTCACAAGTACAGTTCCTTCTTTTTTAATAATTCTTCCAACACCTCCTGTATTTCATTCTTTTGCATACTTTATATTAAATTTAATATTCAGTGTTGTTTGACCTGGTTTTATTACGTTACCCTTTCATGAGTATGTATGAAACAATGTTCAGTGATGTTTCCTAAGCCTTTTGGGATCCCAGAAGTAATAAAACTTTAATGTAGATAGACATCTCAGGTGTTTTCTATTGTTTTCCTTAATGTGTTTGTATAATGTTTTATCAGAAACAGCAAGACAGAAGTCACAGGGTGACTTCTCATTGTTTCACATTATACAGGAATCTGATGAGATGAGCCATTGATCCTGCTAGCTTAAATATGACGCTTTATAATAAATAATGCTGAATGGGATTCAGACCGAGCCTTCACGATTTCTGAACAGAGCGTTTTTTGGCTGGCTGCAGCTCCCTACTCGCATCACTGAGCCATGCACGCTGCATTGATGGGTTGGGAGGCTCATGGCAGCTTCTCCAGCCTGCTCAGCAATTCAGAGAGTGACTCCAGGGGAGGTAGCACAGCAGTGTTGGGTGATGAAATGAGGTGGAAAGTGAAGATACCTCAGGAGGAAGACCTTAAAGTGTTGCGGTAGAGGTGCAGCCTAATTGGGCAAAATCTTTAGGGGATCACCATCTTGCTTAAAATTATTGCTTCAGAGCTTATCAATTTTTTTTTTTTTCTGTGAGTGTATAGTTTTAAAATGTATATTGTAGATCCAGCAGTTCTGCTTTTTAGTGTATTATTCTAATTTAAAGTATCTTCATTGAAACAATATTGAAATATATTATTTCAAATATACATCCTTCATCTGTTTTTTAAAAAATAGTGTTCCTTGAAATTAAATTTGTAAGAAGTCTGTAGGGATATTCTGCAACCCAAGGTGCAGGCAGTCAGAAATAGGGGCAGTACTGAGAGCAGGGACAAGCTGTAGATAGGGTAGGAGTGTTGCTGGTGGATCATCTCCTCCAGGATAAACTTTATGCATTAATATAGAGAGTATTTCTTCATCTTCAGGTGGATAGATGTACAGGAAAGTGTTTGTTTGAGGTCACAGGTTTTACCAAGAGATTCTGAACATTTAAAAGTGAAAAATCCTTTACAAATGTGGATGATTATTGCTATTATAGTGCTTGTTGTTATAAAGTGTGTGTGTAAGTGTCAGCACCTACTTAGAGTTCTACAGCACAGTATCCTTGAACTGAAGAGTTCAAAGAATGTAATCCAGGCAGGACTCTTGATTTTGCTACAAAGCAAAGACTAATGACACCACTGTAATTTGGCTTTAGGCCAAAACCTGTTGCATTTCATAATTAATTGGCTTGTTAGCTCATGAAGAAGAATGCGTATAGGTTGTGCTAAATGGTGTCAAGTCACTCTTAGAAAGCAGTACACTGTACCTCAAGGGTCTGCTCTTGAACATTTTTTTCTTTGCAATCAGGCAAGCCTGTGGAAAAAGTACTGTGTATTTTGCATGGTTAGGGCATCTGTGATAGCAGCTGCTTTTCTTCCCGCTGAATCTTAAATCCAGTTTCCCTCAAATATGAAGCACCAGCAGAGATACTGCCCCAATCATGTATCTGGCTTTGTAAATGTATTACACTTAGGAATCAGCTGTTTCACCCACAGTGCCTCTGTGGGAGCTATGGGAAGAAGCTCTGTGGTGTGCCCTGCAGTACCTCTGGGCTCTACATTTCTGCTGTGTCCCAGGTATGAAGCCTGAGATGGTCCATTCTCGTATTCCCCTCTTCTAGTCCAGTTCATTCCCATTAGGGGACCAACAAAGTCACCCTGCTTCTTTTCAGCTGGATTATTCTTTAAAGTAAAGTTGATACCTGGAAGTGAGAAAGGATAGTGCCTCTGACTGCGTGCTTGAGGGCCAAGAAGAGGAGAGCACCCAGGTTCCCTGGCTTCGTAAAAAATGTTCAGCAAGTGCCCATTTCTGGGCATTGGCTTATGTTTCTAGCATCTGGGGAAAAGTTGCTGTGTTTCACCAAAGGACTCTCTCATTCCTTTGTGCATTTGATGAGCTGTGTCTTGGATTTTTTTTGAAAGTGTCAACTTAGAAGAGAGGCTGTGCCATAACCAAAGCTTAATGATGCTGCACTCCATGTGGGATCTATCTATGACTATTGAGCATCGACAGGGCAACTTCTGGGTAGCCTGAAGAAACAACCAGCTCCTTGAAAAACCCATAGGGGCTGCAGCTGCTCACAAAGGTACTGACCTCAGCCTTGTGGGAACAGCAGTTCAACTTCATAAAAAGCCTGCTTCTGATTTATTTTAGAATTAGTACATGATTAGACCCCATGCAGTGTGGGATTTGGCCCTGTTAGAAAATATCTGGACCTACTGCTATGGTATGGGACTGGACCTGAGGAAACTTGCAATCTGTGATATGTAAAAGACCAAAGGAGACATTGATTTAAGCTGCCAGGTGTCAAGAATGAGATCTGCTCTATCTGGCACCCTTCAAAATCCTCGCTGGGAGACTGTGAGGAAAGGTGGCCTGTGAGGGAATAAATTGCGGGTGAGAATTGAGCTTTGTGGTATTTAATTTAGAAATTGCAGTGTCCATCAATCCTCTCCGCTCTGCATATTAGAAGATGTTTTACTACTATATTTTGTTAGCTTTGATGGCTCTCTGGGCTCAAATAGTGTGTGAACTGGAAGTCAGAGGGATGCAGACACATTTCTTGCTGCTGTGACATGGTATTTGCACATGGGGCATGCTATGGAAGAGCCACTGGTAAATCTGTAATGAAACTGTGTCTGAGTGTCTGAGTTGGACCAAAGAGACTTCCAGAGTTTGTATTTGGAACAGCCCAAATCAATTAGGTAACCTTTCATCAAGGCCCTTTTACTTGCTAGATTTCTCAGTTGCTGCTAAGTAGCCCTTCACTCATGACAGACAGAAGGCATCTAATCTCACCAAGGTGTCCTGGTAATACATATACATACATATAAATATATATATATATTTAAATAATACTGGAGTGCACCAATAGTCATGTGAAGAGACCTGTAAGCCATGATAGCAATGTCACCTCAACTTACAGGATACAGACTGTAGATTTATGCAAGTATTTAATAGTGGCTTGCCAAGAGAATCGGTACTCTTTTCAAAAGGAATCTTTCTTTGTGTCTTTTGATATTTAAAGAGCTATAATTACAATGGCAAAGCTTTGAATTATTTTTTTTTCCCATCCTCTTTTACACATTAATTTATGGACCAATCCAACATTACAGACAAGCTAATGAAAGAACCACACGCTCCCTTTATAATTTTTTCTTCTTTTTACAGTTTCACTTGTGTGGATGAATGCAAAGTAGTTAATGCTATAAATAAGTTTAATGATGTATCTCTTCTCTCGATTGCTGGTTGTTGATGCTGCAGTCCTGCATAATAGGAAAAGAAAAGAATTGAATTTAAGTCTTTGTCTCTTTCTCATGCTCCAAAAGGTTCTTCCAGCTACTAAATACAAGTATTGCTCTCTTATTCCTATTCTATATATTTAAAGTTCTCAACATGATTACCTCATCATTTCCCTTCCACTCCCTATTTTGGTATTTTTAGCTTTGCGAAAATATCAAAATTACATAAGGCAATTTGCTTCAGCAAAATCAGCAAAATCTCATAATCTCCCATGAAATGATGTCTTTTCAGCTGGTCAGGATTATACTTCAGCAGCAGGTATAAAGAGGGAGGAAATTCCCTTTGTGAGACATTTACTACTGCCTCATGCAGTATCCACGTGCTATCAAACATATTGTGGGGAAGCCAGGCACTAGCACTTTTCAGGATTCAGAGTAGCACTCAGTCCTGAACAGCAAAGACTGCTGCTTCTGGGTCAAGAACTTTAATAAAAATCTTGTTGTCACCTAAACTGGGGAATATCTGGATTGTCTTTTGGAGTTTTATTTTTTTTTTAAGAGCTTCCTAGTTGTGGTGCAATACCCTGCTAATAGGACCACACAGCTTCCAGGTTTTTTTTCTTTGCTTAGACTGCAGCATAGAGAAAGCTGAAATTTGCCTTGAAACAAGGAAAGTAGGACTTCTACATTTTCTAAATGGTTATGTGGAAAGCTATAAATAACTTGCATGAAACTAAAGTTAGCATCACTAACTGTAATGGTGTTGATAGGACATGTTGTGCTCCCTTTGCAGGGAAAATAGTACTTTGATCAGACAGCCTACATGGATAACAAAGCACTTGATCTCATCCACCTCACATTTTTGCAACAGATTTGGGCATGATCTACTTCTGATGGCCATCTTGAGAGCTGGGCAGTAATTCCCACATAAGGGACATCTGCCAAGTGGAAGGTCTAATTTTACCTTACCTTTTTTACCTTTTACCTTTTACCTTTTACCTTTTACCTTTACCTGTACCTTTTTATCTAAAGAGGCAACAATATTGTAAAATATATTCCAGGATACCTTTGAAAACGATGAGCTGTTTTCATGAAGGATTGCAAAACATATGGATTGCCCAGGGACCTGCCTGTCTGTCTGCAATGCAGATGCAGTGGTGTCACAGCCTCTGTCTTGAAACGTTCAGGAAGAATATAAACTTTGGAATTGGGCTTGCAAGATGCTGTGGAACCAGTGCTGTAGCATCATGGCAGGTGCAACATAACATGGTTCTTCAGCATTGCATCAAGGGCCTGGGCTGACAGAAATGAGCTGTGTCCCTTTAGACAGGCATCCCACCAGTTCACTTCAGAGACAAGTGGAGAGCTTGTGGTAATCCTAAGAGAGACTGAAAAAGAGACTGAAAAATCCCGGAGTGCCCTGGTTAGATAAAAAAATGTTGAAAAGGGACCAGTGAGTGAGGCTTAAAACTACCATCCTTGAAGTGGTCTAGGTGCATCCTGGAAACAATTCCATATTGTTATCCACGCTCCCTCTTTCCTTTGTTCCACTGCTAATTAATTTTTCTTTTGTAGTGTAGGATAGCTTCTATGGTAAGGGTGGAGGATGCCTCAACCCCTGTTGGCTTGGAGAGTGATGCTCTGAATTTAACACATAAACCTGCAGAATGAATGCTACTTACCATGACTGAGCAGTTCCACAAGATATGGCTTGTTTTCTTTCCTGCATGTCACCCTACAGTGTGTTAGAAATAGAAAAGAGGTGCGTTCTGTAAGGAAAGACAGCAGATGACTGGTCCCAGAAGTGGGTTCTGGATTGTTGATTGTGGGTGAAGCATGGCACTAAAGACCATGCAGTGGGCAGAGTTAATGAAAATGTAGTGGAATGCCCTTCATGGTCATTGAGTATAAGTGTATATTTGATTCAGGATTCATGAACTAGACATCTAGATACTGGATGCCTTTTGTGGGCCAGCCTAGAAAGGATGAAGCATGAAACATAAAAATAAGAAGTCTGCCAAATAAAGTTGGTTGGATCCTTGAAAAATGCCAAAAGAAATCCCAGATTTCTTGACCTTCTTTGTATGTTGTTCAGGCCAAAGATACTAGATGTTCTTGGCCAAAAACATCAAACTGTGAGTCCTTCTGACATTGACCAAACTCTAACAGAAAAGACTTAGAAGCACTGTAAGGTGGCCAAGAAGGAAGATCCAGGGAACTACAGACAAAAACTCACCTTGGTCCCTGGGAAGGTGATGGAGAAGCTAATACTGGAAACCATTTCCAGGCACATGAAGGATCAGAAAATTATCAAGAGTAGTCAGCATAACTGACTTCTGACTTGATCAACTTGATAAACTGTGATGAAGCAAGTAGTCTGATGAAGGGTGGGCGGTGCATATTGTCTGCCTGGACCTCAGAGACCTTTGACACCATCTCCTGTAAGGTCCTCATAGGCAGGCTGTTGTTGCATGGCCTGGATGAGTGGATGGTGAGGTGGATTGAAAACTGTCTGAACATCTGGGCCCAGAGGGGCGTGATCAGCAGTCTGCTTAGAGACCAGTGATTAGAGGCAATGCCCAGGTATACTGGGTATATATATATATGTACTGGGTCCAGTCCTGTTTAATATTTTCTTTTGGATAGTGGGGCAGGGCACACCCTCAGCAAATTTGCTGATGACACCAAACTGGCTGCTAGGCCTCAGGATCATGGTGACATCCAGAGGGACGTCGACAGGCTGGAGAAATGGGCCAACAGGAGCCTCGTGAAGTTCAACAAGCATAGCTACAAACTCCTGCATGTTGGGAAGAAGAACCTCATGCATTTGGGACATGCTGGAGGCCACCCAGCTGGAAAGCAGCTTGGCATGGTCTTGGTGGGCACCAGACTGAATGTGAGTCGGGAATGCACCCTTGCTGCAAAGAAAGTGAATGATATAATGATATCCTGGGCTGCTCTAGGCCAAGCAATGCCAGCAGAGCAGGGGAGATGATCCTGCCCTCTGCTCACTGCTGGTGATCTGGAAGGCCAGGCCCACATTTGGGCTCCCCCAGTGCAAGCGAGACGCGAACATACCAGAGAGAATTAACAAAGAACTACAAGGATGGTGAAGAGAGTGGAGCATTTCTCAAATGAGGAAAGGCTGAGAGAGTGATGGCTGCTCAGCCTGGAGAAGACAAGGCTCAGGGGGATCTCATCTGAGGTGAAGGTGCAAAGAGGATGGAGCCAGGCTATTTTTCTGCTGCACAGTGCCAGGACCAGAGGCAATGGGCCCAAACTGAAATGTAGGAGATTCCTTCTGAGCATCAGGAAATAATTTTTCATTGTGAGAGTGATGAAGCCCTGACACAGGTTGTCAAGAGGGTTTGTGGGTTCTTCACTTATGGGAATATTCAGAAGTCACCTGGACAGAAGCCTGAGCAGTGTGGCCCTGCTCAAGCACAAGAGTGAGACCAAATGCACCCAAAAATACCTTCCAATATCAGCCATGCTTTGATTCTGTGAAAACTCAAATGAGCTCCTGAACAAGAAATTTGTTGAACAGCCTCCTTCTTTGGGGAAAAAGGAGCATGCATTTAAACTGTTCTCATGGGATGTAATTTTCCTTCTAGTATTTCCCCAGGTATTTTATGGTCTTATGTTGATAATTGTAATAGTGATAACTTAACTCTTTCCGTAAGTCCAAAATGTTTTGAAATTAGTGAAAATATTTAAACAACTCTTTCTCAAGAAAAACAACTTGTGGTTTATTTGTCTGAGACTCTTCATACAAAATAGAAACTAGGGAAAGTTTTAACCTGAATAACTGTTAAATTGTACATTAATTTTTACATCGTGTTCAAACTACTCCTGCTGCAGCCAAGGAACAATGGGAGAGCAGGTAATTAAACACCTGCAGATTTTCATAGATTTTAATGGAAAAGTGTGTAGTCTGGCAGATAATGTGTCTCTTAAGTTGCATAAGTAGACTATTTGAAATACTGTTAAAGCAGCACTTTTATTGACATTTTGAACACTTTTTCCATCAATGCCATTACAGATTAATTATTTTCAATTTTCTTAAGTGCCAAAAACCCCACATTAATCTGCCTCAGCTCATGTGATAGAAAAAGAAAGCTCTGAAACATCTACAACCCTCTAATGGTATGTTATGATAATTATTAAATATTTAATCTTACCTTTAAATTCATTTAGATCAGGTATCTGTTAATTTTTCATTAATGGGTGAGAATTTTTAATCAAAAATGTGAAAATTGGTGGCCCATGTGTTCTGCTAAACAAATGTTTCATGAATCATGTTCAATAAAAACTTTCCCTGGTTTCTTATGATTTTCTTTTTGAAATGTCATTTTTTTGGTGGTGGAAAATGATGTAAATTCAAGATACTTTCTTAAGGGAAAAGCAGGGTAGTTTGGAATTTTTTTGTAGTGCTTTTTTTTTTTTTAAGCAGCTTTAATAATTAGTCTTAAAGTCTGGAATCTTCTACATATTGAAAGGAACTAAGTGCCACAGCTCTATTGAAATTCAATTATATTCAGGAGCCTGGTCCTTCTATAATCACTTTAACATATCATTCAAAATTAAATTGATCAGTTGCAATAGCTGGTATGATAATTTAGGAGAATTTACTACCAGTAAATGCTATTTCGGGAACTGTCATCACATTTCAAAGAAAAAAAAAGAACAATATTCAGTAACTGAAGAAAATCTTGGATATATGAAAATGTGTTCATTTAGATCAGGTCTTATATCAGAGCTGAATTTTTTGAAAGTTTTGTCCTGAATGGCATCCAATTTGTGATATTTCTTATTAAAAGAAATTTCCTTGTTTTCTTTCTGTACAGCAATGACAAACCAAGTGACTTGTAAGGCAAAGGTGCTTGTGCTGGAGGATGGGACAATGCTGTTAAAATTTATGTATTTAGTGGCTGAGCTGGAATGAACTGGCCATGAAGTGAAACTAGAATTATCTGCCCACATTTAAAGCCCCAGCAAATTCTAAGGCAATGCTTCGAAGGCAGAAGCAACTGTGAAGCAACAAGGCTTCCTACTTCCCCTTGCTCATACTTCTGCACTTCCATGCTTGTGTTGAGGTCAGTTCAGAGATTTTTGAATGTCGCCAGGCTGATGCAAGTGCAAAAGCATTGAAATTGCAGTTAACAGTGAATGATGCACTCAACTTCTCCCACCTAGGTGGACAGACTCTTTGGTTAATATACTGAGGATGGGAAAATTTGGGCCTTTTGCAGGTTCAAGCCAGCTGTGAGACATTTCTTTGTGACTCATAACTGTCTGTGTGACAAACTTCCCACCCCTCTTCTATATCCCTCTCTGTATCCATCCAAATCTTAAGGGAACTTGAGCTTGGCTATGATTTTGAATGCCCTCTATCTCCACCTCTAATTTTCACATGAGCAGCTTGTGGCAAACTGTGGGATAGCTGTCACCTTTTTGAGCCTGGAGTGGATATCCTCTGGGTTAAAACTATACAAAACCTACGTGCTGCTTTTTGTGCTCTGCAGGGTCTGCAAAGAAGTGAACAAACTTCCCATCTCCTGGCTCCAGGATGGCATGTACATTAGAAATAAAGGTGAGATAGCCTGTGCCTGCCTGAGGGCTTAGAGACGTGAGTGAGGGGGTTCAAGCAGAACAAAATGCCTTTGAAATGCCAGGAATGGGGAAGAGAGTCGACAGCCTGGCTGGGCTGGTATTCCTTTCTCTCCCTCAGTCGTGGTATGCCAGTGGAGCCTGGCAGCATGGGCTTGTGTGGGTAGCGATTCACAAACTGGTGTCAGCTGCTGGCTCCAGCAGGCCCTGGGACCCAGCAGCCTGTCCCACGTCAGTACTCGGTGTGTGCAGAGAGCATATGGCACAGCTCCCCTCCTGCTCCCCAGCCCATCCTGCTGGTGCTCCTCAACCCATCCTCCCAATGCCCCCCAACCCATCCTCCCCGTGCTCCCCAGCCCATCCTCCCGGTGCCCCCCAGTGCCCCCAGTGCTCCCCAGTGCTCCCCAACCCATCCTCCCGGTGCTCCCCAGCCCATCCTCCCGGTGCTCCCCAGTGCCCCCAGTGCTCCCCAGTGCCCNCAGCCCATCCTCCCGGTGCTCCCCAGTGCTCCCCAGTGCTCCCCAGTGCTCCCCAACCCATCCTCCCGGTGCTCCCCAGCCCATCCTCCCGGTGCTCCCCAGCCCATCCTCCCGATGCTCCCCAGCCCATCCTCCCGGTGCCCCCCAGCCCATCCTCCCGGTGCTCCCCAGCCCATCCTCCCGGTGCCCCCCAGCCCATCCTGCCGGGGCTCAGCCCTTCCTGGGCTGGTGAGAGCTCACCTCTGCTGCTCAGCTCTCTTTGCGTTTCAGATCGAGCACCGTGTATTTAGGTTATTTTTTTTTTTACTGTTTCAATAGCAAAGAGCAGAGAAAGAGTTAAATAACTCGGGCAGCGCGCGTGTGACCGTGGAATTACGAAAAGCCCTGGCTCCTCCAACTCGGCAGCAGCTGACAGGGGATTGGGGGGTGTGGGGCTGCAGATGGCACCGCGTTACTACAGCCGCAGGATTGACGAACGTTTGCTGCGGAAATCTCTTGCCCTTGCCACGGAGACTGACCTTGAGATGCTGCAGAATTCCTGGGGTGGATTTCTGTGTGCCTGTAGCAAAAGCCAGAGCGGGTCGGAGGTGTTTGCTTGCTCTGTCGTGTAGCTGTGCGGATGGCACTGTGAAAGGGACTGCTGCAGGCGACCTGAGAGCTGCCTGTGCTGCAGAGCTGGCTGGGGGGATATATTTGATTGCATGTGTCCATTTCTAGCTGCGACTGCTAATGTGATATTGTTGCCTTGATAGGTTTAAAGCTTGCTTTTACGCCTCTCAATATCTATTCCTTGACCTTCCAAAATATATCCTAACTGTGAAGGTGGGCAAAGAAAAAGAGAGAGTGAGGGTGCTCGTTTCTGCCTACCAAAAGATCCCTTATCCTGCTGTTTCTTATAACAATTTCTATTTGTTTTTTTTATCAAGCATAAAAAGTAAAATAAGATAAAAAAAAAACCCCAACAAACCAAAACCCACCAAATCCCCCCACCAAACCCCAAACCAGAAAACATAAAAAAGAGTAAAAGGTGCCACATTTATCACTGGCAACACACTATAACAAACACAAAATTTCAAGTCTATATTTCTTGGTGATTTATGATGCACTCCTGTGCAAACAACCTGAAGCAACTTACAGAGGTAAGGCAAGGAGAGCAGAGTCAAATCACAAAACTGACTGATAAGACTTCATAGAAAACAGGGCTCAGGAAAATGTTTCTCAAGAGAGACAGCAGACCTTTAAAGAAGTTACTCTGAGGCTACAATTGAAAGTAGACGAAGGCTAGAGAGTAAAACAGCAAGTATGGCCAACTCCTGAATACTTTTGATGACCTTGAGCAGAAAAAGTACTTGTGCAGATTCAGAAAACAGGTTAAGCTGCTAAACATAAGTATAAAACAATGAAATTTACCTGTAAGGAAAAAGGCAAAAGGACAATATCAATAAATCAAGATGCATATTACATAGACTGTAAAGAATAACAGGAGATTATGTTATTATTAAGAAGACAGTCAAGGAAAAAATTGTCACTGTTCAAAACTGAGAGAAAGTTATCAAATGTGATGAAATCTGAAATTCTGGAGTTCCTTGTTTTAGTTCTCACCAAAAAAGACATTACTTAGATTATTAATAGAGTTAACAAAAAAGAATGATAAGCCATAAATATTTTCCAGACTAAAAGAAAGAACAGGTTAGAGAGTATTCAGAGGACTGATTCATTCAATTCAAAAATATCTAACATTTATCCAAAGCTTCTTAAAAAGGAAGATGAAGCAAATTCCAAAAAGTGAAAGGTTACCTTTGAAATCTCATGAATAATACTTGAGGTTTTCGAAATCTGGAAAAGGACAAAAAAGATTTCTGTTTTTAAAAGGCACAAAGAAGGAGCTCGTGGAATAGAAACGAATGTAATTTCAATTCCTGGTAAAATAAACAAGCAAGCAAGCAAACAAACAAAAATGATAATATAGCTATTTGCAAGATATTAATGAGATGCAATGGAATCATCATGAAGAGTTGTTGGAAACAATGTGCATCAAATGTGTATTAAAGTGACATATTCTGGGGAGAGAGAGAACCATAGATATTCTAACTTTCAGAATTCAAGCTTCTGATGTTGACTTGAATGATGTTTAAAATTAAGCTGCAGATTCACATTCTGGACAAAACTTCTATATTGCAGGTGTAAACACTGAAAAATTGTGCTGACAGTAGTTTGTTTTCAAGGTACAACGTGTTTTGCATTGCTTTAGGGGCTTGTTTTGTTTCTGTCTTGAATTTTAACTTGCTGAAAGCTTTAATTTGTTATATGGCTAATGGAATGAAAACTCTGTTTATTAAATCTGCAGATGACATCAAGGTGGGAAGACCTTGGAGGAGAGAATTAGAATTAGAAATGAGCTAAGCAAAAAAGTAAGATACAATTCAATTCTACAAATTCTACTTTTAGGCATGTATAATCAGCTGCATAAATACAAGGGGAAGAACAAGTTAATCTATAGAAAAGGATCCACAGGTTATAGTGGATAAAAATTGCATGAGGCAAGCTGCTTTGGCAGAAGAATGCAAATGCACTGGGATGTATAAATCTTGTCTGCTAGATGTGATCTTGCAAGATGAACAGTCTGTTGTTAGTTTTGGTCACTGTGTCAACAACAACAACAACAACAACAACAACTATGGGGGATGGTTCAATTTCAAGGAAAACTAGTAAGAATAGTAAAGCCTGGGCAGCAGCTTTCTTGAAAACCTGTAAGAACTTCTTGTAAAAAGCCTGTAAGATATTGGAAAGCCATCTGTCTGAAGTAGTACAGGAGTATCATGCTAAGAGATGAACAAGATTAAATCTGGAGGCCTCTTCCAGGCCTCTTTCCTTTTTAAGTTTTTTATTTGCTGCTTAAAAGAAGAAGAGAGAGGAAAATGAGAGTTTTAGGGGCAGGTCTTCCCTCTCACAATGTACAGCTATATCCAGGGTTTTTCCAGGAACCATCTTAGAGTCATCTTATTTGGTCAGACTCCAAGGAATTGGCTCAGCTTCTTCTTGTTAATGAAAATTAACAGTTTCAATAAATGCCCTTAACCTTGGGTTTTTACTGAGCAGTATATATTAGAATGGGCCTAAATTTAGGCTAATAGCAGTGAAAAAAAAAACTTTCACACTGGGTCTTAGGTGCTGATAAGATTTATAGGTTTCTACTTTCTTTTCTTCCTATAAAACAGGACTGAAGTTCCTCTCCTCTCACTGTGAGGCAAATATTGTTGACTATTATATATCTAGTATATTATAGCAGGGGTCAATAAACATCAGAGCTTCTCGTCTTGAAAGTAGGAATTTGGATTAGAGAGGCAGTGAACCATACTTGAGTCCCACACCAGGTGTTTTGGTGATGCTTACAAGTAGGGGAATTTCCCTTATGTGTCTAACATTTTTTCATGAATGGTTTGGATTTGTGTTTTTTATTAAAACAGTTTAGCATCTATCATTGTTGTTGCTGTGCTATCTTTAAGTGCTTTGTTGTAGAATAAGCCCATTAATATAGCTCTGTTTACAGCCTAACAGTTCAGCTGTAAGATTTGTAAAGACATTGTGGGTTAGATGTTTCTTTGCCTTTTATATATAAATAATAGATGATTTCTTTGAAAAGTACACTGCTTCTAATTTAATAGAAAATAATTCAGTAATTGAAAGGACTCTTTGAATGTTATGTTGACAGGTTTGAGAAAACCATAGCAGACTTCAGGTGAAATAAATAAAGGTACACATATCTTCTACAATGATTACCATCATTATTCTCACTAATAATACCACTCCTCCCAGGAAATAGTATAAGAAAGACTTCTCTTTTTTTTTTTTTTTTTTTTTTTTTTTTTTTTTTTTTTTTTTTTTTACCACAGTCTGTTACAACTCCTTTCTACAGCCTTTTTTCTTATCTTAGAAGAAATGACATACAGAACAGCAGCCACACACCTTAAATTAGAGTCCAGTGAATGTGGTAATGTTGAGGAGTTATGAGAGACAGAGGTACTAATTTGTAGAAAGATAATTAAAGAGAATCTACATGCTGCACGTCATATCACAGCCCAGGTTCTCCCTTCTCTTCTACATTGCTGCTTTTCTGACAGAGGGCTCCTAATTTGGGGTTTTAGATGCCTGTAAGAATAGGTATCTCACCTGGGTGAGATATAAGTATCTTCCCTTCAGAACAGGGAAAGATAGTACCAATTGCTATTTTTAGGAATGATCATATTAAAAGCCAGTGTCTTGCCTTCAGTCCATTCCCGTTGTGCTGTGTTCAGCCTGGGTAGAATTAATTGTCTTCAATTAAGAAGCTGGTGGTAATAGGCTCTGGTTTGGATTTGTGCTGAACATAAGGCTGATAATACAGAGATGTTTTTGTTATTGCTGAGGAAGGTCAAGGCCTTTTCTGCTTTTTGTGCTGTCACGCTGGTGAGGGGACTGGGGATGCCTGGGAGGCTGGGAGAAGGCACAGCTGGGACAGGTGACCCCAAGTGACCAAAGGGACATTCCAGACCACATGGCATCATGTTCAGTATATTGAGGGAGTGGGGGAGGAGGAAGGAAGGATGTTTGGAGCAATGATATTTGTCTTTCCAAGTCACTGTTAAATGTTATGGAGCCTTGCTGTCCTGGAGTTGGCTGAATACCTGCCTGCCCATGGGCAGCACTGAATTAATCTCATGTTTTGCTTTGCTTGTATGCATAGTTTTGGCTTTCCCTATTAAATTGTCTTTATCTCAGCCCATGAATTTTCCAGCTTTTACACTTCAAATTTGTTCTCTGATCCTGCTGGCTGT